AGCTCGCCTTCACACCTACAAGCAATTTAGTTCCCCACAGAAACGCACCAAGCGGCCCCAGGCCCCTGAACACTCAGCTTGCACCTGCATTATCCGCCCTAAATAAGACACTAACACACTATCAACAGCAGCCAAAGAGACGCTGTTATGCATCTTGCAGGGCAGTCGCCAAATGGGTGCACTTTTCATACAGTACAGCCTGTCCCCCCGTCCCCCGTCCCCCCTCCCCAAAAGCAAACAAAGTGACGTGCTGCCATGTGTAAATGCAGGCCGTCCTCTCGGGCCTCCTTCACTTTCTCCTCGGAGAACTTTGGCAGGCCCTGATAAGCTGGATCTCGCTGCGCCCTGCGAGTTAAAGTCAGTGTTGATGTTGGCTACAGCGGGACTGATAGGAAGCCCACAGCTTGCGTTAAGTCACTGAACACCAGCCACTTTCAGATAAAAGGTTTACGCAGCCAGGCTTGTGTGAGGCCCAGGAGAGCACGAGGAGCAAAGCAACAGAGGGCTGGATTTGCGTCCTTGAACCTCGTAGCTCCAGAGTAGCAAGACGCTAATACGGTTTTACAGCTTTAAATTTAAATTTAATCCGGGGCTATTATATGAGCATTACAACTCTGAGCTGAAGTATACACACTTTCTGCCCAATCAGCCCACTTTCATTAATGGTTCCAACTCTTACTACAGTGGTGGTGCTGCAAATCTTCCACCATCACACCTCCTTCTCCTCCTCCTCTCATTCTGTCCTCTGTTACCTTTAAATATCAGTCGAGCTGAAAGTGGAAATTATTTTCATTACTCACTAATGTGTCAATTATTTAGTCTAAAACATGTCAGAAAAATGTCCATCATAAGCTCCCAGAGCCGGAGAGGACGTCTTCATAAAGCTTTTTATTGACTGACCAACAGTCCAAAACCCAAAGATAATCAACAAACACAACAACAACACAGCAAACACTCTTTGAGAGGCTGGAACCACTCAATGTTCGATGCGTTTGCTTGACTGAAACAAATGAATCAGTTACGTATAAGAATTTTCTGCCATTAGCCATCAATTAAATGACCAAATGCTAAGGCACTACTTTGATGCAATGTTATAATTTCATGTCAAGTTAAGTAAATCAAGATCAAAAGTCAAGTTATGCTTCACAAGAAACTTTTTTAAGCCTTAAGCCCCACAAGTTTACAATAAACTAATCGCCACTATAAAAAAAGGGGATTGAACCAATTCTTTATATTTGAGAAGGTGGAACCTGCGAATGTTTGACATTTTTGCTTAAACAATGACTGAAATTATTATTCCATGATTGTGTCTTAGTTGTTAAAGCACTAATAAAGACAGACAAAGCTGAAACAGTGCGACGACAACGGCTGAATATCTTTTGAAAATTAACAAAAAGTCTGAAACTATCCGACTCTAACAAACAGCACAGATGAACAGCTGATTCATAAACGCAAACACTAGGTGGAATATCAGAGGGTTCTGTCTCTCTGCTTGTATCGATGCACCCGAGGCTGCTGGCTAATTGGTATTTTTTTTAAAAGCACTCGAGGCGACGGCCCTCATAAACACTGAAACAGTGCTGAGAATACAGGTGGCTGTGGCGAAGCAGAGCAGGTAGAGAACGTCTGTACAGAGCGCGATGAAGGAAAGTGTGTTGGTCTGTGTTTAAAAATGACACACGAGAGTATAAAAGTGTCAGGCCGGAGGACGCGAGGGGGGAGCTGCCCTGGAATGAGATCAGGTATTGTGCAACAATTGCCCTTTAAAAAAAAAAAAAGAAAGGGGGCTCACCAAAAAGGATACGTGCCAACAGTGCACTCATTCCTCTCAGTTACTGAGTAACTCACTGACTTTGCCGGACAGAAGCTTTATGCTCTTGATTCGGCTATAAAATCATGACATACAGGAGCAAACACAGCAGGTTGTAAACTCGTTTGGACTCGGTGTAGAGGCCGGGAGGAGACCGTACAATGGCTCATCCATTTTTTAATCACCATACATTTCCCTCAAGGCCCAGTTTACAGTATGTTGCCTGTATGGCGCCTGGGTCACCTGTGAGGCCGTGGGGGGTTTGCTAGGCAGCTGCCACATGGGAAGGTTTTACTTTAACAGCTCTAAACTTAAAGCCTTTCAAGATCCAAAGTTCATGATAAAGTTTTTACACAACAATTTCTTAATTATTGTAAAATGTATGATAAAAATGACTTGATTAAAAGAATGAATCTGCATTTTATTCTATTCATCTATGTGTACTTTATCTGAATTGATGAACAACTGGAGAAGTGGGACTAATTGATCACGATTATCTACTATCACAACAAAAGGGAGCAACTGCAAAAGAAAACTTACAGCATTTAATAAATATAACATTACAAACACAAGGAACACGAGTGAAGTAGAGGTTGCAGCACATCGTCCAAGAGGTTTTACAGGTGGACGTAACTGGATATCTAAAATGTGTGAGGCAACCAAAAGAGGAAATGAGCTCTCTAGATGAATTCAATGTGTGTTCAGTCAACCTGTAACTACACAAATTTCTCTACATTTGTTCGAGTAAAAACAGTTTGTTCAAGGAATGAGAAGATTAGATAAGGAAGGACACAGAGGGCGGGAATCTCCGAGCACGACGTCCAGATATTTTTGTGCAAAGGGTGTGGAAATAATCATCGGTTGAGGCTGATATTTATATGTTACAGTTGAAGAATTGTGCTGTCGCTTTAGTCTTAGTCGATGAAACTCTCTTTGGTTGATTTGTCGTTCTTTCTGCTGAATGACTTGTTGTTTAAGTGGTGCTTTTGTTGTTGATTCTTTGGGATCATGTCATTAAAACTTACCGATTAGTCGACAAGATCATACGAGCGTTAGTCGACGGATGTCTAAATGTTTCATTTCTCTGTTTGTTTGGGTGTTTTCATGGATGTTAGTTCTTGATTTTAAACTGAACATTACATTTTAATGATTATTGAAATTATCAATGCCCATGAAGGGACTGGAGCCGTGTCTTGTATCTTATGCCGTCCTGGCTGAGCTTCTGTGTTGCATGTCATGGAATAATCTAAATGTATCGTTTGCTTTTTGTTTGCTGGCACAAAAACAAAGATCCAGAGAACGACGCCCAAGACAAACCAGTGTAACAACAGAGACAACACAGCGCACACAGGAGATCTCCTCCGAGTGTCTCAGTTATAATGACGACTAACTCAAACGGTGATCTTTATATGGTCCCATTCTGAGCAGCTGATCTTCTGGCTCAGGCTCAGCAACACATAGTTACAACAGCTTAGGGCCTTTTCTACCTGACTTGTAATGACGCACCTTGGACTGCGGCTCCGTCAACATTACAGAGGCGATTGTGTTTAGCCACCAACAGCCAGCTTTTGTGTTCATTTAAGCAATCAGGGGCACACGGGGAGGACGGGGTGGCGATTTCAGTTATAAGAAACGCGGCATGCAGTCGAGTCCGTGTCTTTGAGGTTAACTTATCACAACAGTAACCACATAAACAATGGCCTCCTTTAAGCTCATTAAGGGGCGATTAAAGGGGGCTTAACTGGGCTCATGTCTGAAGTCAGGCGATGAAATAGCCAGCTTATTTCCAACATGGACCACGGCCAAAGAGCCACAACACAATGTGTCACACTTATTTCCCTCAACAGAAGTTAAAAGCAAGCGCTTTAAAAGTCACACCACACCTGCTTGTGTTTGACCTGAGGTTGTGAAAGTTAGGACAGGTAAAGGGACATCCGGTGTCTCTCAAAGATCCTGGGTGGGACTCTCTCTCTCTTCCTTCCTTTCCCCAAAACAGACGCTTGTTGTGTGAACGCACAGGTGGGCTCTCGAGGCAGAAGTCCCCACCTGTTGGTGCTGGGAGCTTGACCCCTCGGGGGCAGATTCACTTCCCCTTTGTGCAATCCCTGACTGTCTGCGTGCCGGTGCCTCCTGCAGAGCCTTTAAACGCAATACAAAGATCCCGCCTCTGTGCAGAGTTCATTGGTGCTTTTGTGGCTCAGCAATGTCAGAATACAACTCCATCGGACTGAGGTGATTGCTGACAGCGCAGTTTAATTTGAGGTTTAGAGGGAACAACTTCACACCTCAGTGCAAGATACTGATACCAATGCACGTCACACAAAACAGCAAATGTAATCCTCCACTGTGCTATTGAACCATGTAAGCAGGAGGAGAGGCAGCTGGTAGCCAGGCTATTTGGTGGCTGCATGCCAAACCCTAAAAAAAAACCAACCCTGTCACCTCTGTCTGAGTGTTTACATGCTACACGTGAGCCACACATTATCTCTCAGATCTCTTGGTACTGCCTCGTATGATGGGAACATTTCAAAGCACAAATGTAACTATTATCATCCCCCCCAAAAATACTGCTGGCAGATCATCACGGCTGAATATTTAAACGGTCTGCTGCCTCTCGGTTGTTCTTGGTTTTGCGCGTGGAGGCGTCCAGAGGAACCAGCCTTGGTGTCACCAGTTGTTAATGAAAACAGAGATTAGAGGGGATCATGGCGGGCGGAGTGGTTCAGTGGGAGCTGACAGTTTGACCCGGGTTACCATGAACGGGCCTGACACAGCCCAACTCAAGGTCAACAAGGAATAATGGTCAGTGGATTAGCTGCTTCACATCAACTCTGATGACCTGAGGGAGGAGGAGGGGATTAGAGCATGAGTGGGGCAGGAGAGCAGGGAAAGTACCTGCCTGTGTACCTGACACAGGTTTGATTGCTATGGGAGGTAATATGGAGTAAAATATGGCTAAAAAACAATGCATATTTGGTGTGGAGGTGCACATAAAGGAGATCAATCCTGGAATATGATGACACAAATGTGAGACTGAATGTATCGTTGCTTTCATCAGCAATCATCCAGCTATTTAAAACAGCTAATAAAATGGTTTTCCTCATTTAAAACTATTTAAATGTGTGCAGACCTTTTCCATCCAAATTGGCAACTGTTGCTCTACAGTGAAATATAAAAGAAGCCTTCCTACCTGTAGCTCACACCATGCAACCTCCACTGTCGTCTCTGTGTCCAGTCCCTTATAGACCGTCTTGAAGGACCCCCTTCCGATCTCTATGTTGAATTTGAGGTATCTCCCATCGGGCGACGTCGCCACCGCTTTGGTCTCCACGTCCTCTCTCTGTTCCTGCTCCCACTGGGCATCAAACATGGTGCGAGGCGAGATATTGTGCTTCTTGTGCTGCTTGTTCGGAAGTTCATTATCAGACTCCGAGTTGGGGTCCCGGGCGCTGGACCTCGGGACGGGATCCCAGTTCCCACCTAGAGACCCGGCTGCGGGCTCCTGGCTGCTGGGGGGCGTGTTGGAGCTGGTGCCCGGGCTGGAAACTGGGGAGGGCGACGGTGGGGACTCGTCGGTTTTTTCATCCTCTGCCCTGGACTCGGACAGCGTTGGGATATTCTCAGCGGACCAGGACAAGGCTTTGGAAAGGGCGCCGCTGTACAGAGGCGAATCGATGTCCATGGTAATTTTCTGAAGCCCGTAAGAGTTTCTCCGTGCGCCACAACCGAGCGTCCTCAGCACGGAGGGGACCCGGGACAAGCAGTCGTCCGTCATATCCACAGGGAGGCCTGGGAAACCGCGTCCTGGGATCTCAACCTGCGCATGTGACATTGTAGCAGGTTCAGCGCCTCCTCGGTTTAGAACCTGAATGTGGAGATGGCATCAGGATACCGTTACAATAAGTTCCGAGTTACTTTTCCGTGATGTCAGAGGCTTTAATAAACAAAGGCTGGCCACAAAATAACAGGTCTGATAACATAACGAACCAGTTCATGGCCTGCAATATATCTGAAATGACATTACCTGTAGCGACACTCCACCGAAATATATTTTAGTATGCAAAAACAAACAAACACAGGAAAGTAAGAAAAGTGTACTTACTCATTACAGCCGCTGCGTAAAACAAATCACATAAACGCAGATTAACGCATAGTCCCACTCAAATAATCAGAGTTTTCCTCTTCTCTCCTCTTTACGAAGTCCTCAGCCATAACCTCTGGTGTATGAGGACGGCTCTGCCTATATCAACAGAGCTCCGGAGGGCTGTGCGTCCCGTGCGCGCCTTCCCAACCCCGCCCCTCCCGCAGCTTTGACGCGCTAACACGACTATACCAGAGGGAGTAATTACAGAGGGATTTGAGGAGTGTTTGCAAACTAGTACTCTTTTAAAACCCCAACATTTCATTAGCGTGGTCCGATTTTCATTTCATGCGTAATTGGTGTCCAAAAAGAGCTTTAAAATCTAAATGTGGGCCGTATTGTGAGCTGCATAGGAAACGAGGGGACAGTGTCTCAGAGAGGATCCATAAACTTTGTGTTTTTTGATATTTCCTTGTATTTATTAGCTGGATATGTGCCAGGCATAGCCCCCCCCCCTGTTCACTTCGCACTGTGAGCAGGAGCCCAGCAGAGGAACAGGATGTTTCCTCTTCTAATTGGCCCCTCACTGACAAGTGCATCTCTAGTTTCTCTGAATTAACGAGTCACTTCACTAAAGTCTGTCGTCATTTGGCTAACCTGAATGAAGGTGTGCAGCGTGCGAGTCTAACCTGCAGGGGGAGCCACACAGAGGACAGAAGCTGAAACAGGACACTTATCAGCCAAGGCCACCCTGGCTGGGCCCCACCTGTCCCGCACACACACGCAGGATTGTTATCATCCCCACGGGCAGGAACAGTACATGATGTGAGTGGATCATCTGTTCAGTACAGCTGCAGGCAGAGATCCCCATCACTGCGGTGCACGTCTGCACGGTGCTGTTAACATTATCACTCATGGTTTACACACAAGACGTCTCAGAGAAACAAAAAGGAAGCAGGTATAGCAAATTTCTAATTTATTTACCAACAGGATATGAAAAAAAAAGAAAGTTGAAAATAGACAGAAAGAGAGGATATAACAGTAGCTACAGCACAATAACAGGATGACAGCAGTCTGTACATGAAGTCCACTATGATTACACTCAGCTGAGTCGGGCCAGGATTGGTGGTTCCGAGTCTCTGTGGTGTTCCTCTTCTCAAAAGAGAAAGTCCCCCTGGTGTTGCATTCTGGGATTGCTTTGGGATGTCTCGTTGAGTCAGGAGAAACAGCTGAGCAAAAGCGTCACAGCTAATTATACCCAGGAGATTTGTTAACGGGGGGGAGGGGAAGAAAATAAACAACAAATCGAAATAAAACTAGTCGTATTTACAATAAAGAAACAGCTGGTGGGGAGAGATTTCCCCCGGAGTATTCAGATAGTATTTAGTCCCCTGAAAAGGCCCATTGCATGTTTAAATGGCAACAAGTGTTACCTGCGACAACTTTAAACGTGGCGTTACCTCAAATGCTCTTTTTCCCCCCAAAAACACTTAAGAAATGATATTGCTTCTCTTCCAATGAGACAAACTAAAAGGCAACAACGACTGCAGGACAAAGTGTCCTCTGGGCTGAGCATTGAGGTGCACCTTGGGAAAAATGTGCCCCGCGAGGTTCAGTACGAGGCCTCCCAGACGGAGTGTGTGTGTGTGTGTGTGTGAGTCCAGCATCGCTTCAGAAGAACTTGACCCCCTTTCCGTCATCCATGGTGATGATCTCTGCTTTGCCGTCGGTCTGTAACGCCTGCAGCGAGCGCAGCAGCATCCAGTCCTCTAAACCGTGGAACTCTGCAGGAGCAGATTACAGTTACGGGCAACAAGTTTGCACATTTCTCCACAAAAACAACCACTTCTAAAAACTGCACAGATCTTTCATTTTAATTGAAATATATTGCACATATTTTATAGTATTATTTAAAATATTTTTGTTGTAATATTCTTCTTTTCTATATTAAAGCTTTCTGATTTTAGCAATACTTTTATGACAAAAACCTACTGATTCTGAATCAAATTCTGATAAAAGATTTAAAAAAGAAGTGATATAAACAAATAAAACATACAAGATGAATTAAAAATAATACAATGAATAAAAGCCTCTCTTTTTGTACTTTGGAGAAGTGATTTAAAAGATGTCAGTGATTCTGCAAAGTGTCCTTGGACATCCTTTGTTTACTCTCAGTGATCAAATATACTGTATTTAAATAAGTTAATGAGCCTGAAATCCAATGAACGGACTCCGATTCATCTTTACGTTTGTAAATGGTTCCGTACCTTCACCTTCTGTGTCATCACCATTAGACAACTCATAGAGCGTAAACACAGAGTTGACCATCCCGATTTTGGAAACCTGAAATGTTAGAGAACAGAATAGTGATCAATGAGGACAGACACAACACGTGTTAAAAGTTATTTTTTGTACCGGAGGCATGAGATCTGGAGCACACGGTTATAAATAGAGCCTTTAATGAGGTGCAGCAACTAAGGTTTTGACAAAGTCGTTAATCAGACATCCAGTTCTGCTGGTAGTGAATCATCCAGCTGGGACTTCTGATAGTCTCTCTCACTGTTGTTTTAATTTGAGTTACATCATCATTCCTGATGATCTGTCCTTTTACCCGGACGCCCTGATGCCTCAGCGGTCCTTTCCCTGTCTGAAAGTCTCTGTCCTTTAACATGTGTACATGTAAACAGCTAATTACAGCCCCGGTTACACATCGACATGGGCGAGACATCTAGCTCGTATGACATTTAAGAAATCAGGTTACATGCTCTGACGACAGCGGATTACTCTGCTTTTAAATGTACTTCTTATTTATTGCTTCAGAGAACATTTCCTCCTCTTGGTCAGATGTACACAGTACGGACAGAACGGCATGTGTTTTACGGTCCATGACTCACCCACTGGTGTATTAGCTTTCCCCATTCCTCCGGTCGTCTCCACATCACTAAACACCGAGACTTGTTTTTGTCCAACCATTCCAGGTTTCCTGAATCGTTAAAAAAGGAGAAAAAAGTGTATTTCTGTTGAAATGAATTCACTGTGAGACACAATGAGAGAAGTATTCCTAAAATAAACATTTAGATAGAAGAAAATTTTACCTTTTTTCCTCAATTCCTCAAACACAACCTGAATGGCTTCCATTGACAGTTTTCCTGGAATTCAGTTAAGGGCAAACCAAAAGACATAAAGTAACAAATGTTGATGCTTATGGCCTCGACTGAGCCACAGGTGGACCGTAAGGATACGTTCTATCTTCTTGTTGTTGAACACGGGGCTCTCCTGAGCCTCCATGAGGTCCAGGGTGTAGACCTTGTGGTGCCGGCAGTAAGACAGAGCCAGCGAACACCAGGCCGCCAGCTGCTTCTGTCTGGTGTCAACATTGGGCTGAAGCCTGTCCACAAAGAGAGAGAGAGGAGCAGAAAGACGGTAAACAGGAAGTCATACGGAACCGCAAACACCAGACGAAGATTCAATCCACCTGTAAATGTAGCGTTTGTCTCGCTTTCCTTAAAAATATATATCTAACATCACATTCAGACCATTTTATCAAAGTCTGCTTCTTCTTGTTATATGCCATTTATCCCACGGTGTCTTCAAATTCTGGTTTTCTTCTGTTTTTAGTGAATATTTGGACAGAATAAAACCATGTTATGTTTTTTCAGGTATTAAATTCACTGAATTAGACATTCCTATTTAGTTAGATTATCTATAAACACTTTCCCAACTGGATTTACATAATATTTACTATTTTTGTCCACCGGCTTTTGGTCTGGTATGTTAATATTAATTGAACAACATATATTTCTGACAATAATGTTTGTAGAAAGTCTTTTCCTGCTTCAACAGAAACAATGTCCTCCGTGTACAAAGCCTCTGGAATGAACTTTAACCCTGATCACACCTCACTGATGCTGTTGAACGGAAGCAAATCTCTGCATCCAGGTTTGAAAGTAATGTGTAAAGCTTTACCAGTAGAGTGGCGGCTTTTATAGCAGCAGATTGAGATGTTGAATAATCACGTTTGAGCCCTGTTAACATTGACTAATCAGCATTTTTCTGATATGCGTCGCTGATCCTCCCACATTCTCTACCTATACACTTCTGATATTTTAAGATTTTACTGACCACTTTTAAGGCTCTTCATGGCCTCTCCCCTCTTAGTACCAGACACACCTTTGAGATGCTCGAGCAGAAGTCTTTTGTCTGTTCTCGAGGCCTGGTTTAAAGTTAAAGAGGGCAGAGCGTTTGCATTCATGGCCACGAGGCTCTGGAACAATCTGCCCGAGGGAATCTAGTCGGCTGAAGTCAGTGATCTCCTTTAACTCCTCTCTAGAAAATTACTTTAATTGGGAAGCCTTATTATGATTTTACTTGAGCTTTAATTTAGGTAGGGGGGGTTTACTGGGAGCTGGAGAGGTGCCAGTTCGCCTCCTTGGCAATGCCGAGGTGCCCTTGAGCAGGGTACTAAACCACCAACTGCTCGGGGCACCTGTGCACAAATATCTCTCCATTAATGCATGTGTATAGAATAGAGTTTGTGCTTGTGTGTGTGTGTGTGTAAATATTACAAATAACAAGAGCTTTATTTTTGTAGCCTTTATGAAGCACTTTGTGATGTGGATTTTGAAAAATTATATAATTAAAATATAGTGTGCAGCCATAATTAAAAAAAACATTTGCAGTGGAATCATACATCTGAAATTGCAAAACCAGCCAGGTCACACTGTTTAATAGCTATGATCACAGCTAGTTAGTGCTAACAGCTAACGTTAAACTCATTCTCTGAACTTGCACACACCAGCGTTGATTATCTACATGTTAATGTTTGTAAATAACCGCATGCAGTCGAGCCTTATTGGGTCAACATGCGTGGCTGTTACACAAACTTTAGAAAGCTAGTAAGTAGAAAAATAAATCCACTTCCTTAGCATTTTGTGTTTCGTTTAGCCATGTAACCGAGATAACGTGATGCTAGCTCTCAAAAGCAACGTACGTCGATTCAATAACAAGGTAACAATGGCTGCTAGTAAGCAGAGTTGATAAATGGTTTAAGAAAAAGTTGACTCACGTAAAAAACGGTGGGAAACTATATTGCCAGGGCCACTCAAAACTCATTGCAGTTGATGCGGTGTTCACAGATGACAGCTTCCGGAAGAGCGTCCACCCCCTCAAATGGTTCCGACTAGCTACACTGACTTTACAAAATAAAACAAATAACTGTAAATATACATGGAAATATATAAAACAAAAATATTAACAAATACATACATAAACAATTAAATACATAATACATTAATATGAATACATAAATTAATAAATATAAGTGCGAGGGTTAAAGCCTGAGTAGAATATAATATCTGATTGAATTCAAATTAAATGCATTTAGCAGATCAGGAAGAAGAAATTAAAATATTAAACAGGTCAGTAAACTGTAAATAATAGGAAGCATATTAATGCCATTTTATGGTCTAATAAACGGTCTAAAAAAATAAATATTTACAAGTTAAAAATGGTTCCACCTCGACCAAGGTTCAAAATGTAGATGCTGCACTGATAACCATTGGTAATGATGAAAAAAATAACATTAGAAACAAAAACACTCTAAAAGGGGCAATTATGTGCAAGAGCACTTTTATTTGTGTTCAAGTACATTTTGTTGATCATACTGTATTTGAATTTCAAAATACCAGATAGTACTGAATTTCTCCCATTTTTAAGTTGTTCATTTACAGACATAATTTCATGAGCCTTTTGACAAGAATAAATAAACAGCTGTACTTTTTTACAAAGTTATTTTTTTTATTATGGAACAACTTGTGCAATTTCAACAACATTCAGCATGAATATGCCTTCTATTTCTATTTACAGGTCATACATCTCTTCTAGAATCCACTCTACTGTTTCATGTTCAGACCGATCGTACCGTCAAAAAAATGAATCATTAGTTTATATTTCTATGGTGTTATTATACAGTTTCTTCAAGGACAGCATGACATGGCATTTTATTCAGTGGAAAATAATCTATAGGTTGCACAAGTATTCTATGTCATCATCTATTTCACAGCGAGATGTTGGTTTTAATATTTCTTATTATACAATTCTATATTACATTAAAATTCATGGGTAAAAATAACACAATATTAGAACACAATATCAGTTATTGCCATACGTGATATACTGTAATTTAAAATTCAAAACAATATTTAAATGTCATTCAAATTTCTAAAATAAAGATGGTAGCAATCATTGATCATTTCTTTAGGAGAGCGTCAATGCATCCGTCCAGGCTTGACTTGGGTTCTATTATCGCCAAAAAATACAAAATAGACAATTAAAATCTCCAGAAAGAGACTTGTGAAATTAATACAGCTCGAGTAATCTGATAAACTCCTCCTTCAACTCAAGCAACAAGCTTGTGTGGCTCAATCAGACAATACTGCCAAAGACAGATCCAACAGTGTCAGCCTCCTATGGAGTAAATCTGGACTAAACATTGGTAAAAAATGCTTCAAATATTCTCAGAAAAGACCATTTGAAGATCCTTTTAATCTCATTTTTACGTGGCTAAACCTCAAATAGTCTGAGCAAAGAAAACTTGAAGAGCCCTTTAACTTATTTTTACGAGAGGAGTTTCATCTTGGATGTTGCACTGAAGCCGTTTATGTGAATGCATGGAGGGTAAATCTAGCACTTCAAATAACTTGAGCACATTGAGACGTTTGTGCAGGTTCTGCACTGGAGGCCTGTGACCGCTTTAGCTGGAGAAGAAGATGCGCTCGTATTCGTTCAGGACGAGCTCCACTATCTGGTTCTGAAAGACCATGTGCATGGCGATGTTGGACGCCTCCGTCTCTGGCCGAAGCAGAGTCGGGCCGAATACAATCGCCACATTCTGCACAGTCATGCGATTGTCCTCTCCATATTGAATGACCCTGTGAGAGAAGAAAATAGACGATCGTATTGTCAATTCAACAACACTGTTACAGCAATATTTATTCATCTGTTATAGATTCTCAAACTGTTTGGTGGAAACATGCAAAGGATCAAATTTAAATAAAAAAATACCTGCGTAAATGCCCAAAAAGGAGTTTGATGGTATCATGATTTGAAGGAGGAAGTGAATTGACCAGCTCGTACATGCAAGACACTTTTGTTTTGTAATCAGGAATCCCTATAAAAACAGGACAAAATGAACATCAACCAATCACCAATACCGTCATTCATGTTAGTTTTAAACATTGTCTGTATTTAGGCTGAATACACAAATAGAATGTGTTCAAATTAGATTTATGGATTCAGAAATCTGCTCACTGATGGCTGTGATGAACTTATTAAAGTGGCTGAATGGGAAAAGTGGCTCGGGAAGCTCTCGGAAAAACAACTTCAGCGCTCCGGTGATGACGTGAACGTCCTCCCACTGGCCGTCCTCGAGGTCCAGTTCCTCTGTTTGAACAAAACAGGTGCACAGCCCATTAACACACGGCAGGGGCGCTGCTGTCTGCAGTGAGCTGCAGTGTAAATCCTTCTACATCTGGAGTCATTGATTGAATTTAACTTGTAAGATTTACCGTGATCGGCCTTGAAGCGTAGTTTCTGGATGACGGCGAGGTTCCCGCTCACTCTGTAGAGTCCATCGATGTCTAAACCTGCAATCAACACATCAGGAAGTCAACTTCTTCACTGCACACAGTAAGTAAAAAAAATACTTCAGGCAGGGACTCAAACATGGTGGATTACCTCTCGTTTCCACTGCTTTGATACATTTCTCCACAAAACTAGGAACTGTGGTCTTCTCTTGTGCACACAGAGTGGCCAGATGGCAACCAAACACATTGTCTACAGGGAGGAAGAACATTATCATTAGTAGTAGTAAGAGAGGTAGTAATAGTTGTAGTAGCAGTACTATCACCCCATCGAAGACATGAATAGAGACAGAATCAATAGTCCATTTGAGAACATGTAGCTATGTTGGGAAAATAAAAATAAATAACAGAAATAGAAGAAAATATAGACAGAAATGCAGCTGGTGGGGTTCAACAGAAGTTCAACATGTAACTATAGATTATTTGTCAAACATCAAGTATTGATAAAAGTATAGATTACACCGTGACAGAACACAGCATAATAAGCAGTGGTGCAATCTAATGCAAAAGAAATAATAAATACTTATAGTATAATATAGGAGATTACTGTCTGATTATTATTGTGTTTTGTCTTTCTTCATGTTATATTTCTTTATGCTGTCTTTCTGCAAAACAAACGTCCGTTGTGTTCAGCTCCCAGTATAGATGTGAACTGATATGAAATGTGCACTGGAAAATACAACACAGCGTGTGTTTACATATATACACGTATCACCACAAACAGTGTGAGTGTTCAAGGTCTGGTGGAGTGAAACTCACTTCTCCATCAGCTTCTATTCAAATCAGCCCCAGCCCGAAGAGCCCTACCTCGTGTCATGTGTCTGAGTTTACCTCGGATGTAGCCCTTCTCCTTCACAGACTGCAGCGTGGGCCGCTTCATGAGGAACTTCATCAGCTTGGTTCGAATCCGCTTCTGGTCCGTCTCTCCTGCAGAGCTGGATGAGTGCGTGATGCTCAGCCTGGAGGCTAAAAAAAACAAACAAAAACAATGTTTGACTTTTAAATAAGTGTAGCTCTCAATGGGTTCTGATGCGTCTAACTGGGTCAGAACGATGACATCATTCATGCCAGATTTAAACAAGGAAATACGTTTGTTTTTTTACTGACATCTTTGCTTGTCAATGCCGCCTGCAACCTTGTCATCTCGCTCTACGATCTTCTCATATATGTCCCCGTCCTCGTCCTCTGAATGATGGTCCAGGTACTCCTGATGGACAGACGTACAAAGTAGAGTCAGTCAGACTGATCGCTCACCGTCGACTGCAACATTACCGCAGTTAAACCTGAATTAAACAGTATTTTGATTTGTCAATACGTAGAAAGACAATCACGTTTTCTTTAAACTGAATTCAGAAACTTGACCACACACTGCAAAAAATCTCCCATTTGTCTGTAACTCCATTGTAGAATGGAACATTTGGACATTTTTTTCCGTAATAAAGCCATATTAAACAATCTGCCAGCTACTATCAGTCAAATTTTGTACATCATTCCTCAAACTGTCTTTGGTGAAAGCACTTTTTTAACAAGTTCCTACAGAGACACTTTAAACTAGATTATTTTATAAGCACAGGCTTAAGGATCATTGAACACTGAACGTACTTGTCCCTGCTAATTCACTGATAGTGGAATTTGTTGTTTAAGTCAAGTTTGTCTGTTACTTGTGAGATAGAAATAACTTCATAAGCCAGAGATTTTTTTGCAGTTTAACGTGGATCATTTTCATGTACCAGTTATGGACGACGGCCAGACTTACCAGTTGTCGTATGGTGTCCATTAAGACTTTGTGCCAGTCTGTGATGATGCTTTCTGTATCGTACTGTATCAAAAACTCCACGCCGTTCTTGCCTTTTAACTGGAGGAGAGATAATGAGATATTGGGAAGCAATCATGAATCACAAACCACATTAAGATAATTCCCAGACCACTTATTATAATATCTTATATAAATACACAAGATCATGTTTCAGTTGAGAGGCATAAAACCCCTCAGTTTTTAAATGTGTTTTCACATGTGGTATTTGCTCGTGGCACACGCTGCATTGTGTTCCATGTCAACAAACAAACACACCTCTAAAACATTCTTCTTGCTGGACTTGTCCTTTGACGCCCGGCCAATTGACGCTCCTCGCAGGTCCACCGTGACCTCCGGAACAATCTGATTGGTCTTGTGCTGCGTGGAAGAAAAAAAACAAACAAAACAAACACAGCTGTTTACAAAACTGGAGGCGCCGCATTCCAAGAGACGAGCTGCATTCAAACAAAAGCGGTGAGCGTCCCCGAGGGATTTATCATCCGTGCTGTCACTCCTCATAAAGGTGACGCAACACACACGCTGCAGTGTAAAGTTTCAACTGTTTTCTCAGGTGTAGAACATGATACCAAAGTGAAGGGAAAAAAGCAGCTTCAAGACAAAAAAAAAAGAAGAAAGGTCAGTGACTAATTCTGTCTATAAGCTTTCACCTCATCACAACCTTCTCAGTAATGCACAGAATGCAACATGAGCAGAGAATGCAGCATGCAGGTGTCAGATCTTCGTATTAACGCACTTTCCTCCCACATACAAACATGCCAGTGCTTCTGTTATTAATATTTAAGTGTAGGTCGTACCAAGGTCCCCGTCACTGCAGACTTTGGGTCTTTGTGGAACGTCAGCACTCCTCCGTGGAGAACCGTCCACGTCTGGGCCCAGTTTTTCCTTCAGATGGGGGAATAACTGTCAGAAACACAGAACAAGGCAACAGAGCGCTTTGGGGGGGGGGGGGGAGGCGACACATGACTCCAAACACACAAAGACTGAAACGTGAGCGTGTCCTCAAAGTGAAGATTTAGCTTACCGTACTTTCTTGCCGTTCTCACACACTTTTGTTTTGTTGAGGATCCCGGCTTTCTCCAAGTTCTGCACCTGAAACGGTCACAACATCTGAATTCTTTATGGGCTATTTGTAATTGTTATGCTCGAGTGAGAAAGTCAAGCTAAGTGTTGATGTGAGGGACACACAATTCTGGTTTGGGTGGAGCACAAACTTGATCAGTCGAGCCATGCATGCATGCATGCAGCGTTCAGGATGATGAATTCCTAATATGAAGAATATCCTCATCCATCTATGTTTAGAGTCACTCAATCAACTGATTGTTGGTTTTGGTCTTTTTGTGTAATTTGTTGATAAGAAGAAACAGAATCAACGTCTCCTGGTTGCATGCGTTGGCCAACCAGTCCATTTGCAGTTTAAGTCCATGTCTGTCACTTCATCATCTCATCCAGTAGACATTTGAGTGAGATTATCATAACGAGCACATGGATTCACGAGTCACAGTTCTTATCCTTTCATCCTCGAGTCCAGGTGGACGTTTGTGCAAAATGTAAAGAAAATACCTCCAGGCTTTCTGAGGTATCACGAGAATGGGAGGAAGTACGTACTGTACGATCATGAGCTGGTTTCACGTCCTGCTGTAGTCAGATAGCTCAGGAGCTAATCCACCGAACACTTCACTGCAGATTTTTGAGTAATGAATGTAAAATGCACAATCTGCTTTTATTCCTCCACACCGGCAACATCCTGTTTAGACAAGCATTCATGTAGCATGTGGTATTTCATGTTTCAACTTCTGTCTTATGACTGTTTCCCTTGTGTATTTATGTTTTATCTATTTGATTCTACCTGATATTATTTTATTTCTTTGACTGTGAAGCACTTTGTGACTAATGGTTTTGGGTTGTCCATCCGTACATCGGTTGTGCATTGTACATGTAAAAGTCAGAAATCTGAAGTGAGGTTTACGGTGGATTAGCTCCTGAGCTACCTGAATACAGCAGGACACATGAGGAATATAAACAGCAGGTCTATCAGGTGGGCAGTGTGGTTGAAAACATGCGTCCCAGCAGAGGGAATCCATGCACTTTGACGCAGGGAATGAAACAAACGCTCCGTGAGTGATTTAAAGTCACACCTTCCACCCGTCATAGATAGACGCTGCTATCTATGAGTCGAGCTCAGGCGAGCGCTCAAACCAACAACCCACATTATAGCGCAGCCACCTGGAGGTCAGATAATAGGGGTTTCTCCAGGGTCTAAACCCAAAAGCCTTAAGAGAGAGACAGAACACCGTTCAGATACGAGGCAGCTCACAGTGCTGAATAAGTGCTAGTAGCTAACTGGGTATTCTTTCAGCCTTGAGTTATTCTGGAGTAACAAATATCAGCAGACTGACGGATTCCACTCACGTTGTGCTGCGTCTCTGGAGAGTTTCCTGTGCTGGAGCTGTCGCTGCTGTAGTCGGACGTCTTCCTCCTGTGAGTTGGTACGAACCTCTGAACAACAGAATAAGGTTTAGTTTACAATAACAACCACATTTACATTTCTTTGAACGGCGTACGCCTGGTCTCTTGAGTAGCTGTGATTGTGAAGGAAAACTCAGTGATGATAGCATCACAACACATCGTCCTTTTGCTTTCTTAATTCTTTCATTCATATGGTTTTCCTCTGTGGTTGTGTTTATGCCTCAATAAATATATAAAAATCACTGGAGCTTCTTTTAAACAGGCCTCCATAGTCAACTGAAAAAAACAGACACTTTAAGACCGAACGAGTTTATCACAGTTTGGACTCCTCGAGTTTTAAGTAAAGAAAGTCTTAATGCTCCAGCATACTATGTCCATCCCTTTCCTGTTGGTTTTTCCCAGTTTGATGTGGAAGCAGTTCATTGGTCTGCGCAGAGCTCTGACCTCAACCCCATCGAATCATTTTGGGCTGAAGCGAATGCTGCCTGCAGGCCACTAATCATCAGTGCTTGAGGAGGAAAAGAACAAGTGCTAGTACTCTCCTTATTCACATGTTGGCATGTGTACCGGCCCGTATCAGCGATCACTATTACATCATGAAGTTCCACAGGAGATAAAACACCCTAGATTGTTTTTTTGTGTGTCCTCCCTCAAGAAAATGTTTTTGACGAGTTATGACGAACAGTTCACTAATTATTTTTAGAAAAAGGACGTGAACTTTTTATATTGATAGAAACAAAACCCCCCTCCCCCGTGTCTCAGCTTGTCCTGATGATGTCCACATTGTTTTCATCATCGTACGGTTTATGAGACATGACATTTAATATGAATTAACACAAGAACCTAATATGGAGCAGGAGGAAAAAGTACCGGCAGCTTGTGAGAAAAAGTCAAAGAGTGAAAGTTAAAAGTGCCCGTACTGCTCACTCTAGTGGCTGAATGGAAGCCAGGATATAACATCTTGCAGTAAGGCATTCCTACAAGAGTGGAGGTTGTTATAGCAGCAGATCAGTGCCCATTATTTTGGAATGACTTGTCCAACAATCACATGTGTTGGGAATTCTCCCACACAATTCTCCACATACTTTTGGCCAGTTCGTGTGTATCCCCACATTGTATGTGCCAAATTCAACCACAACTAGGAGACACAGAGGCCAGCCCTATTCTTCTGTTGTGCCCTCGAGCAAGGTGTTGAACCCTGGACTGCTCGGTAGGAAGAAGCCTGCACTTGTATCCAGCAGCCCTCCCCTCCCCTCCCCCTCCCCCCGCAGCTCTTTCCTCAAGCTGTTGCTGTAAATACGAGTGCACACTGCAGTTGATTTGACTTGCTAAATAAGGGTATAAAAACCTGGGAGTGCTATCACTTCTTCTGGCTGACTAAAGCGTTCTGTGTAAGCTTTGCGGTCACACCCTGGATGAGTGATACAGCATACGCATGTACCTGCAGGTCTGAGTGAGTGTGTGTGTGTGTGTGTGAAAGTATGAATGTGGGTACCCCTTCATCCTGGGCCAAGCTGAGCTGTCCAGGTCCCATGGTGTGCCTCCAGTTTTTGATGACCGACAGATTGCCTGCCTCGACGCCATTCTCCATCCTGAACTGACCAGCAGCTACAGGGACCTGAAGGGACCAGAACACATTTTAGTTTAGTCATAGTTAAAGTATTTGAAACCCTGAGGGACCTGTTTGACTTCAGACGAGAGTACATTTAAGACTTTGTGTCCTGAATGGCACCTATACTTCCACTGATCATCATGAACAAACTGGTTCTCATTGATCCCCGTGTGCAGCGAGGGACCTTTACCTGAGGCAGGGTCCACTGAGACCTGGAGCCGTCTCTCAGATAGTAGTAGGTCTGCCCTCGATCATCCACAGACTTGATCCACTGTGGCACAACAAAGATTTCTTTGTTAGAGATGATTCAAACTCACTGTTGATTTCCCAAATAAAAAATAGCTTTGTAAGTATTTTCACAGCTTTTGTTGACTCACTAGAAAGAAAAATGACTTTAATACAAAGTAGCTTAACATAAAAAAGTTTTATTTCCAATATAATCTATTCATATTATGTGAAAATATGAATGCTTTTGAATTAAAAGAATATCCTACAGTGATAGTAACAATAAGATTGAGGTAGGGGACCTAAAGGAGTTGCACAATACTCCTCTGCTCCCTATATGATTATTTTATTGATTATTACATTATTTTACTATTATAAAAGCATCTGCACGCTTCAAACTAAAGTGCTTTCTGCAATCAAATAGCATAGAAATATCTCTTAATTGAAGTCTATCTTAACTGTACTTCATCTTCCTCTGTCACTCCATGGAGCTACCTGCTCTGGAGAGTGCTCATTGGTGAACACCCAGGTCCCGTTGGGTTCCACACTGAGGTTCCAACCAGCTGGGGTGCTGCGGTCCAGGTTGGCCCGGGGGATGATGGTCTGGCTCACATGACTGAGGGTGTACTCTTTAGGGAGGGGATCCTCGTATCCCTCCGGCTGATCAGCAGCTGAGTATTCCTGTGAGGGGTAGTCCTCATTGGGTAGAGGAGGCTGGGGAGGGAAACACAGCGAACATGAAAACACACGTATGTAAATACATCTGTGAGTTTTAGTGCAGATTAACGAATGAGTGATGTTCTCTTTGTTTGACCTTTGGTGCAGTTAATTCTTGTTGTTCTGTGGAGCTTTATAGGTGCTGGTACACGGCTTTTGTGACCTTTGTAGAGAGCAAGGCTAGCTATTTCCCTCTGTTTCCAGTCATTGTGCTAAGCTAAGCTTAGCATATTTAACGTACAGATGCAAGAATGTGGCGTCGATCTTCTCATCGAAGTCTTGACAAGACAGCAAATAAGTGTATTTCCTAAAATGCCAAACTATTCCTTTAATCAAACCATTGCAGTGATCACTAGACCTGACACTGGTCTTTGTGTTGAAATGTTGCTAAATCTCACTGAATAATGGCAAATGAATACTTTCCCACTATGACCCAGATACTCAATGACTTTTCCATGACTTTGATAAATAACTCACAGTATTTCCGTGGCCTCAAAGTGCTTCTTTCTAGCTCACAAAAGCCATTAAGGGGCAGAAAAAGGGGTCACTAGTTGCTTGCGTTGTGAGGAAAAACAGCTGAAAACCATCGAATGTTTGAATAATGTGTCGAGATGCTCATATAAAGTGGAGCATTTGAACGATCTCTCTTGAAACTGTCCAGAATAGTAATAAAATAAATTGAGGACAAATGTCTTTTATAGTTAGGGGCACTATGTTGGGGACATTCTGCACTGGAACTGTGAGCTTTCCTAATGAAAACCAGTCTTGTCTGCTATGTAGGTGCAGGGGATTTAATTCCATTAAAAGCAGACCGTATTTACAGCTTTCCCCAGGGTGAAGCTAAAACAGGAGACAGAGAGGGAGGCTAAGTAGAGCAGCCAGGCAGTCCTTACCAGCCCGTCCTCGTGAAACCTGTGCACGCTCATGGGCTCCATCAGAGCGGGGTATGGGCTCAGCTGCTCCGGGTGCTCCCAGGACGTCTTCCCAGACATTGCGTTGTAGAAGTAGGGGCGACCGCTGGTCTCATCCACCAACTGTTCCCAGTCGGAGATCCACGCAGGTGGCGAGGCGACGGCCGGAGACAGGGCGGGAGATTGAGGAGGCGAGGGGGAACAAGGTGGCTCAGGGTCCGTGGGGGAGTCTAGAAAGGGGTTGTCCCAGGTGGTGCGCCCCGTGGACGGGTGGTAGTAGTACTCCTGTCCACTGTCTCGGTCAACGTGCGCCTCCCATCCCTCTGGGTCGAGGTAGGAGGGAGAGTAGGACGAGGGAGCCGAGGGGGGAGACTCGGAGATGCTTTGCCGAAGTTGTGCTACATTGACGTACACGGCTGACCGGAGACTTTCATTCTCCACCTGTGGGAAGGCCAAAAAAATAGAGATGGAGAAACTCAAGTACAGGCACAGGTGTTTCTACAGAACAAGAACTAAAGATAATGTGGTAAAGACATTTTTTAGTAAAACAAGCTTGCAAAAAGTGTTTGGTGGACAAGATTACAGCTGTGTCAAGTACCAGGCTTCAGCCCCGCCGCTCTCACTACAGCATAGATCTGAATAATGTCACCCTTCCGCATCTGACAGAGCACCAGAGCACAGGAAGTAGCTCACAGCTGAAAACAAAAAAAGACACGCCACAGAGGCGTTCCCCCCACAATAATGATCATTACCTAATTCTCCTTTTCAAAAACACCTACACAAAACAGTGTAATGGTCCCGTGTGAAAACAATGTCCAGAGGTTTTAAGTGTGTGTTTTGCTAAAATAACCATGATGAATGCTGGATTAAATAAAACAAAGACAAAGAAAAACTAGGTTCCCGTCATCAGGTATTGCCACGCAATGCAAATCATCACAACACATTTGTTTAAAGAGCGACAATTAAGAGTGAAACTGCGATGTGATGAAAGGCTGCTTCTGTCCTCAGCACTCTGAAACTGTTGCACAGTGAAAAGTGTCACCACTACACTTGAAATGACCCCTGCCAGGATAAAAACAATGTGATCTTTTCTCACCTGGGCTCCACTGAGGCAACTCTTCCTCACCCCCGTCGCCCCGCAGAGCTTTTCATACGACTTCATGATGGCACTGCACTCTTTCAGACAATGCTCTAACTACCTCTTGTCTCTCAGCTATAGCCTCATGGTCTATATTTACTAAGGACTGAGCCCCGTCTGTGCGTGAGTATGTGTGCTGCATCTGTTCATCACTCTGATAAATGTGCAGTGCTTTACTGAAGAGACATGTCAGAGATGCCAACAGGCACTGGTGGAAACTAAGCACATGTACTCCTGTAATGTACTTAAGTAAAGTTTTGAGGTACTTTACTTGACTATTTCATTGTTATTCTACTTTATACTTCTACAACACCAGAGGCAAACATTGTAATGCTTTGTTCAGTGCACAAAATCTCCTTATCAAGTCATTTAAGTCTGTAATTGAGTCGTTTCTTTAAAGATGAGTACTAATATTCCCACCGTAGAAATAGAACAAGAGTAGACCAGACATTCACATTCGTTCATAGCAGGATGGTCAGAGTAGCGGACATTTTTTATGTGTACCGTTGGTGTAATTATGAATCCCACTAGTCTTCTTGGCAAGACCCGCCCTGCGTAGCTGGTTTAGGTGGAGACGAGTGGTTGAAGTTAGGCATAGACCTCAAGTACTAGAGTCAGGATAGCATATTGGTGAAGGCACAGGACCTGAACAAGTCACCAGTAACTCAATCCTTTCACTTGTTTTAGAAAAATAGGTTTTAGGACGTAATTATAGACAGAAACAGTCTATAGAGCAGTTAAAATCAGCTCCACCTCAACCCGACCACAACTAAAATGCTATTTATACATTGATACATCAGTACTGTATTAATAATCGTTATATGTATAATAATATATATATATATGTATGTAGAATATGTATAATACAACACCATCAGAGGGAGTGGCCATTTCCTGTGTGAGTACTTGTTATACTTAGCTGATAATACTTCTGTACTGTGAATACAGGACATTTGCTTGTAACGGAGTATTTATAAATTGTGGTATTGTAAAGGATTTGAATACTTATATAGATTAAAGTGGTTAACATAAATAGCATTTCCACATTATGGATTTCACGATCAGCTGTGTTTTTCATTCGTCTCTTCAGTGTTATCACTTTGCTTCATCATTGATCTCAATCTGACCACGAGGCTGTCGACGCGGACAACCAGACAACTGACCCCTAAACACATTGATTCCAAACCACAGAGGCAGACAGAGGAAATGAAAGAGCTGCATCATTGATCTCTGAAATAGCTACGCTGGAATGCCCCCAGCATGCAATGCAAGGAAAACTGTACAAAGGGATCAACAAACGCTATGATGCAAATGTGTGATAGATTGTCATCGCTTTGAAAGGGAATACCACAGAGCACTTGCCTGCAAATATATCAGTCCAAGTACCTTTACTCTGGTACACAACTTCAGTACAATTTTGAGGTACTTCACTTTTTCTTTAATGTTTTATTACGATGCTACTTTTCAGAAGGAAGTATTGTGCTTTTTACTCCACTACCTCTATTTGACAGCTGTAGTTAATACTTTTCTAGACTTTACATACAAAAATATATTTTATAAAATACATTTTCAAAAATTAAACCGGTTTCAAACCTTCCTAAAAGTTCTACCAGATGTTTTCCTTCTGAACTTCTTAGATAGTTTCATTTGAATGATTGCACAAGGTTAAACAAGGTTCATTATTTCGCAAAAAAAAAAGAGTCAGATTAGAGAAGTGTCGAAAACATGATTCCAACTTTTTGTCAAAGAATTTTTTTTTCCTTCTTTCCGACCTCATTAACCGTCTCATGACCTCTCTGATTCATATCGTGACTCCTATGAGGGGCCGGACCTCTATGTTTGGAACCGCTTTGAAACCTCACATAGAACTAGCTCCACCTCGACCAGAAGTACAAATTTAACTTACAATGATCAGAATCACAATCAGAACCGTTTATTGCCATGTATGTTGAACATACAAGGAATTTGGCGTGACGGGGGGTGCAAACATTTAACAATCAACAACAATCAGTGCAAGTAGAAACATATTAAAATTTACAAGAAATATGAAATAAAGTAAGATATAAAATAAATGAAATATAAAAAAAGATGAAATATAAAATAAAGTGAAATCTAAAATAAAGTGAAATCTAAAATAAAGTGCACAAACGAACAGATAACAGGACTATAAACATGATGCTCACATATTGAGTAATGTCACGCATATACAGAACACTCACAGCTGACATTTTTCTGCAGAGTACTTTTACATTTTGCTCAGTCTGTATTGTCTGCCTGTTGTCTTGACCATAAAACACAAACCTTCGGAAGAAAAGGAACATTTTGAGCACTAAAATGTTCAGTCACTTGTATTTTGACGCAGCTACGCACTGTATGTATCACTATTATGTTACACATCATAACTATAGTTCTCTGGTCTGGTTGTTGCGATATAAAGAGTTAGTCTTGTTCCCAATATCACAAAATGTCGACAAACGAAACTGTAGAATTCAGACCTAAACGCATGAATTCAGAGTTTCTCGCTGCGTCTTTCAGATACAAAAGACACGTTAGAGACTGAAGACCACATGAAAGTGTTCACTAACATCAAAACTAAAAATCTAAAACCAACATTGAGAGAGTGAGCTTTTAAGCGACACCGTCAGTTCACTATTTATACCACTTTACTTTAGTACAGGAAAAGAAACAAGTGCAGTTGTGGCATGTTTACGCGAAGCAGGAAGCAGGGCTGTCATCAAAACACAAAGTCATATAAAGCACACTGACCACAGAGACTCCAAATTTACAATGTAGTAATAAAAAGGCGCTTTGATGTCGCGGTGATGGCCTACCTGAGGAACCACCGGCAGAGTCAAGTCCGGCTTGGCCCTGTGACCTGACCAGACCCTGGAGTACATGTCCACCATGTTTAATTCGTTCTATCGAAAAGGAGCCATATATCCAAACATGCAAAAGGATGCCGAACTGAAGTGGCTCGAGCGTGCGACCGCGTTCGATCAACTTGTGATGGGAGAGAGGCAAACGCACATACATGAGCACGCCCTCAACGTGCACCTCCTCCTCCTCTTGCAGCAGCTGTGACAGTTGCAGCCCAGATAGAAAAGAAGAACTGTGAGCTCCGTTACAATAGCAGCAGGAAGAGGCTGTGTGTGTGTGTGTGTGTGAGAGGTGTGTGTGTGTGTGTGTGTGTGTGTTCACATGCATAAATTGCTGTGCACAGGGTAGGGGGGCAGAGGGCAACTGTCTGTGGAGCCAAAAGCAGAATGAGACAATAAAGAGAGTTAGATAGAGGGAGCAAGAGAAACTGTGCAGGTCACTTCAACCTACTTCCTGCTTGTGTGCCTAAATGTTGAAAAAGGAAACGTTCATGCCCTTTAGTTGAGCGTTATACTCAAAAGAGAATGTTACAGAACAAGAAAACACAAAAAGCTACTTTGTTTTATCTTCATGGTCAGTAGCTGCTGTCCAGTGAACAGTATTCCACCCTCTACGCTACAGTAGGTCACTCAGCCAAGAATGGGCTAAAATAAGGGAAGCAATAATTTCCCACAATGTTGTAGGAGTGCTGCTTTTGACCGGCCATTCTGATGAGACTGCGTGTTGTTAAAACGGCAGAGTCCACGAGGCTCGAAACAGGAAGTCTGGTTTCAGGGCCAATTGTTGTGAGACCATCACTTCCTTCTTCATGGGGCAACACGAGCAAGTCTGCAGACAGCGGGCAGACGCTTTGTGGCTGTTTTAATTTTTTGAGACTGTTCGGCTAATCTCACATTAGGCCTGAGGCTTTGTGGGTAACTCTTGGGTTCATATACTACTACATCTGTGCTTGCCGATTGCTTTCGAAGTTCCAGCATGTGTCACGGCTGTGATGAATCAATGCTTCCTGGAAAACGTTTCACATTTAAGTTGCCATATCGTAAAAACTTCTTTTTTTTTTTTTTTTTTATTAAAGAGCAGGTTGAAGTGCTTTACAAATACTGTAAAAGCATCGAAACGCTCGGTCCGTGCAGAAACACAGTTCGTGATCATTGAGACCAGTGTGTGGGTGGATGACATCAGCTGACAGGACGTAAACATGGACTCACGCTGTTGACTAGCATCGCGCTAAAACAGAGCATTTCAGACAAAGGGTGAATCCAGGTACATTCAGACAGACGGTATGAGAAATATTAAGAGTTTTTAACATTAAAGCATTTAAACATGTTTTAGTAGAAACCCAAAAGACAGGTATGAACCTGAAATTGAGCATAATAAAGTCTCCTTTAAGTGTCTGGACAGATTATAGTTTGCCATTCAAACGTGCCTTGGAAAAACCTTGAAAACGTTTATACAGTTATGTCTGATTTGTGAGATTACAGCAGAGTTTTCTCTGCTAGGGAAAACTTGTTTCTATTTATCTTGATTTAATTGGAAGATGCAAATGGCTATCTGGTAGCACTGCTTTTAAACAACTGCGTTAAGACCTTACAAGCTGTTTTGGAGCTTGATTTCCATCCGTATACGCGGAGAAGACAACGCTCCCCCCTCAGCAATGCACGAAGCAGCAATCTGCCTGATTACTTAACCACATTAGCACTCATCCAATCAAACAATGGAGCACCAATTTGGGGCCCAAATCACGCCACATAGCACACAGTCGAGCTATTGAATCAATCTGGCTCCGCCTCCTCTTACATCACACTCCTCATGGCCCAGAATCCAGGATAACTCCCCCAAAAAAAGACCCAATGTGGAATCCATCAGCTTATCATGTTCTTATCTTTGCACTTCGGGCCACGCTTGCATGCCTCACAGATTCCTCTCACTCTTACTCTGTGTGGGTGGAGTGTTTTCTGAGTAGAAGAGGAAATATCAAAAGGAGCAGTTGTTGCAAAGCTCTCTGAGGCAACTGTGACTCCCACTCTTTTGCAAGGGGTGCCACCTTGACATTTAGTTGCAGGTGAAAGTAGATATCCACAGTCTGCATGCAGAGAAACGGAAAACCGAAGTATTCAGGACTTCAGCTGTGATTTTTGCCTCCGAGAAGCTTCTTGTTTGCATTAATAACTGCAACAAAGCACCACTGTATTCAACTGATCACTGCAATAAACCTGTCATTATAACTTAACCAAAACATTTCACAAATACTAATTGCATAAAAGACATTCCCGTACACATATCTCATGCAACTCCAAAGATGAGCTGCAAGTTGTCTCAGAGAAGTTTCTGCTTTCTCTTCTTGCTTTGCATGCTGGGTGTGAGCACACAATAATCATATTGTTTATGAAACATACTCTTACGCCTGCCTCTCATGTGCATCTGACTCAAAGAGCTCAGCTTTTGTTTTTCTGAGAAATAAACACTCCAGCTGTCTTTGAGAAACCAAGAGGCTCGTTCAGCAGCACAACCTTCTGTTCTGAAGGGATTTCCAATATCGTCCAAAGACTCTTGACCAGACAGAATGGTGTTAAACGACCATTGAGCTCTGTGATTAGAATGCAATACATCGAGAGGAAACTTACTGTCACTCACATGGTACACGAGGTGCTTTCAGAACAAACAGTTCAGGTGAAACACCTGCACACACCTGTGTGACATGAAGGCTGCTCAACCCGAGACAAGCTCTACTGGTTAAATAGCAAAACGCATGTTCTCAGTTATACAATTTCACCAAAGAATGAAAGACTCGTCCTGGAAGCGAAAGCTACACCTGTTCGCACTCACTTGATGGACACTCGTGTTCAGTCAGGCAGACGTGCTCGGAGAGGTCTGACGAGGCACTCTCACGCTACCTGTTGGAGCAGTTTCTTGGCATTCGATTCGGTCTGTTTGACAAAGCACTGTACTCTTCCTCCCGGCGAAGCTACGGATCCTCTCACAATATGGAAGAGCGGCCTCGGCCGTTCGGCTTTATAATAATCCCATTGGCTGCAGCGTGCACAGGAGGACAAAAACAGAGGGTCACTTTTCTCTTTGATGTCCCCAAAAGACCAATGGAACTTTAGGAGCCCTTCTGACAATTATCTAAACTTTTGAGTGATAAAGATTCATCGGGCATGTTTAATATTCATCATGGAGCTTCAGAGAGGTTCTTGCAGTGAGTACAGACACACTGGTGCCATAAACAGCTATAATAATCACTGCAACATGATGTAAAGGCCACACAATGAGAAGAACGTCACCATAAAACTAAAACTAGGCCTCATCATGCACTTAAGTACGTTTTATCTGCAAGCTGTAAAATGAACCAAACTTTGGATTTCCCAATCCCAACTGGATTTGTCATCCACTTGCCAATCTCAACATTCCCACCAGAGACCAAAGAAACAGCCCACATGCCCTTGATATTAAGCGACCTACATTCGGGGGCTAATTGCAAGTTCTGCACATTACACATGCACACACACGCCAACTGCATGGCAGGGCTGGCACTAAAAGCTCTAAAGCCCTGCTTGTTAGGAGTCAGGCCAGACCCCCTCTCCTCACCATGGAGACAGCCCTCCATTGTAGGGGGGGGGGTACTGCACTTGAGGGGTCCTGGCACGTCTACAGTCCTGGAGCTCATTCATTCATGCTGAAATAGAAACGCAGTAACTACAACGAGTGTTAAAAACGCAGGGGATTCATACATCTAATTGTGTTTAAAGTGATGCAAACCTCCCACTAAAGCAACACACTGTGCTGGTAATTACAGGATGCACACAGTCACTGGGAGAGGCTGCACTCGTTACAGTGTCTCTCTCTCACACACACACACACACACACACACACACACACACACGACGGATAGAAATCTCACCAAACACTTGACAAACTCACTCGTGTCTCGTAACCTTGCAACAGGTGCAAACAACAATGGCCGTGAAACTTACCCGAAGCAAAAAGTAGTTGTTTGTATTCAACTACATCCAACCGGGGAAGCAGGCAAGACGAGCTTTTATATTCGCAAATGTCTCATCGTTTTCGGTTAATCACAACTCTCAGGATCGTCGTCGGCGCTGGAGAAACCAGGTAGCAGCTGCAGGTGTAGGAGTGGCCGTCGGCTTTCGGGTTAACTCGTTCCTCTCCTCGGAAGAAGCCGACACTACCTGTTTCTAACCTGTTCTCTCGAGTTACATCATTGGCTTGTGCGGCAAATTTTACCAGCGCTAAAAAGTTGATAACAAACCCTCCTCCTGTCTGCACTTCTTCCTGAACTACTCACCGAAAGTAAAGTATACACAGCAGGTAATGAAGAAAAGGGGACTCCACACCCGCAGAGCCTTTCGCCTTATTAAACTGAGGTATTCAGCACCTCTTTTCCTCGCCCATTGAAATGTCATGAAGAGGACGGCCGGCTATTCATATGCTAATGAGCTGGCACGGATGCTGTGAACTCAACCAATACGTTATTCTAAAAAAGCCTGGAGCTCCACTGCAAAAACAGTGTGACAATCAACAAGTGATTCGGTCAGACGACCGCTAAAATCTACTCAAATCTACTCAAATCTACTCAAATCTAACAAAATCTACTCATTAGTGGAACGTAAACAAGCCGATTACTCAAGGACTGTAGTTAAAGGGGATTTTACACATAATTAGTCTTAAAGTACTGACGTTTGTGTGAATATTGCTGTTTAGCTCAAAGCCTTTTTGTGGCTCTAGGGCAATACAGATCGATGGAGTATAAATTAGATGTACTTCTATTTTATGTTCTTGTACTTCTACTTCGCTACATTTTAGATGGAGATATTGTACTTTTCTTCTCCAGTGCGTTCACGTTGACATGCATTATTTACTTTCTGGACAAAACATACCATGATGCATTTCTATAGATTAACCTACCCAACAGTATGTAAAGTGTAATGATCCAGTAATAATACAATATATATCATACTAGTACAACACTCAGAGGGGCTGTTTTCTGAATTATGAGTACTTTTATTGTTGATATAATGAGTAGGATATAATTTGTACTTTTAAATGTTAAATAGACTATTTTGAAGCACTTCCATTCATGCTATACCTCTACTCCACAGTTTAGAGGGAAATATTTTACTCTTTACTCCACTATCAGCTACAGTTTCTTTCAGATTAAGATTCTACACAGAAAACTTGTATTGTTTATAAAATGATTCCTTGTTATGGACTACCCAACATGTGAATTAACATATTAATTAACTGATAACTATGTAGAGTAGTTCGAATTAGCTCCACTTTGATGAATCACAACATTTAAATGCACTTGTGATTACGATGAGTAGTTATCTTTTTAATACTTTGTTGTTATGTTGCTAATAGCTCTGTTCTTTTCCTCAAGTTTTGAGTGAACAACAACAAGTTTTACACTTTAAATATTACACTTGGCCCATATTCTTCTCAGAGTTTTTAAAATGTCCACCCACTTACAGAAACTTGCAATGTTTAAACATCATCACCAGATTGAGGAATACAGATGATCAAATGAAAGTAGATTTGGTTCTCCTGAAATCAGGAAGTGAAATTATTTGACAATACATTTTAGGTGAGATTGTAACGATGCTGCAGCACATCAACAAAGGGCAGCGGTCCCTGACCTTTTTGTCACATGACCCCTTAAAATAATACAGCGTCTACTTGCAAGTAGTGAGAAATTCAGTTTTATGGAAAAATTCAGATTAGAGAAAATCATTAAAACCACAAAATCCTTTCTTCTCTTGTTAAATACAAGTCTATTTATACTACAGTCAATGGAAACCTCTTGACACTCACCTTATGAATACTATTACACGTAATGTGTGTTTTTTATTTGTAATTCATTTAGATCATTTTGTAGAGATATGTTTTCACATTGACATAAAAGGTTTCTGTTGGCAAAAAAACCCCACTTTAAATCTATTAATTCAAAGTTGTGAGACAATAAAACATTAAAAACTTCTTCTCACTGTACTGAAGCAGCACAACCTTTTGATGTGATGAAACTGCGCCACCTGCTGGCTGTAAAACCACAGTGACACGTGTTGATCTCACGAGTCAGACTGAATGATGAATAAATAACATGAAAATGACAATCTTACCTGGTCAATGGGATCTTCATCTGTAGGAGGAGTAACTTCTTCATATTGATTTAAGTTCTGCTGCTCAATCATTAACGTGTCATCTGAAGCAACGGGACCGGGCAGCTCAGAACATTCTGGGAAGTTCAGCACCGGTATGGTGTCGTATATGGGAGAATTAGGGGGTGAAGAGAAGTCCACATCCTCATCGAGTAGAAACGTTTGCGGCTGTTCTACTTTCTCATCCTGCGGGGAGTTGTCAGGCTGTCTCTGTCCGTTTTGGACCTTTGGCACAGGATGAGATTTTGCATACAGTTGCAGGCCGTCAGCATTCACCTGTCCAGACGTCAAAGAAAAGCCTTCTGCTGAACTGTGTGTCTGTATATTATCCTGGTTGTGTGCAAAGCTGCTGGTGGTTGGTTCCTCCTCTGGATTCTCACAAGGCCTCACATCTGGTATGTTCTCACAAGGCCTCACATCTGGTATGTTCTCACAGAAACCAAAAGTGGAGAACCGGTGAGTCTCCCTCGAAGCATCCGGAGCAGATACACGAATCACTGGTGTTATATTAGCCGTGTCCTCTGGTTTAATGTGAGTCACACACTCAGGTGAGTCCACCTTATTGGGACCAGGAGAGTCCTCACTAAGCGCCTTCACATACTGTGCGGGGACATAGAAGGGTCTGGTGTGCTGGTCTCTGCGGACGTGCCACCAGTGCTCATTCGTTTTGGAGACCAGGACGTAGCTTTCATCAGGCTTGATGGACACGAGGCGACCGTCCTTCGCCGTGTACTCAAATCCGTGCAGCACCGACACCAGCTCCATGCTCCGGTGCAGCCGTTTGTGTCCTCTGCGCTAACGTGGACACAGTGTGAACATCTTGGAGCTGCAAATAGAGGAAATGTGAAGTTGGTGTGGCTTTTAAAAAAGGGGTTGTTGTACTGTAAATGTCAGTCGGCAGCTCACAGCTCACTGTCACCCTTCCTCCTCTTTTAACCTTGTACTCCCTTATGATGTTAGTGTCATGGAAGGATTATGAGACAATTATGAGACACATAAAAGCCCCCCCCCCCACCCCTCTTACATAAAATATCTTTTTTTGTGTCTTTGTAGTCGTTTTTTGATATTTTTGTGGTAATTTTTAGTCTCTTTATTGTCGTTTAGGGTCTGTTTGTGGTCATTTTGCATCCTAATGTAGTTGTTTTGAATAGCTTGGTGGTTGTTTTGGGTCTCTGTAGTCATTTTGTTGTCATTTTGCATCTCTCATTGCGTAATTTTGCGTCCATTTGACAAATATAGATATAACTTTATGTATCCCGTGGGAAATTGTTGCGTAGCAGTTGCAGTACAAAGTAGGAAAAAGTGCAAATATAAAGAGTGGAAATATGTAGTCGTTTTGTGTGTCTTTGTAGTCTTCTGTTCTGTCTGTTTGTAGTTGTTTGATTGACTTTTAAACAAGACATATTCAAACTCTGACTCAGGGGCCCTCTGACCCCTCGGGCCCTTGTGCCCGTCCAGTAATTATTAGTGTTTGACATTATCATAAGAATGCTAAACAACAAGAAAAGGTAATGCAGTTTGGAGTTAAGATTATGAACAAAAGTCTCTGTTTAAGTGCACAGGAATAGACAGGAAGCTGCTTCCAGTTGCTGCAAAACACCGTGAGCCTAAAGTTACTCACAAACCACAAGAGCATCACACTGAAAACTGCTTCGCCACAAAACAGGAAGTCTGCACCAACCTCGGCGTGGCGTCAGTGCGACGTCACCTGGACAATCTCAGTTTGAGTCTGTCTTTATGTTGCCCGCAAGTATTTACAGCTCTGTGCTGTCTCCTGCACAAGTTACACAAAAAAAACCCCACAGGATGTCACATCAGCAACCACTTCTTATGCAAAGGTGCAATTTGTGTCTCTGCTGGAGCTATATTGTTAAATCATAACATCAAAATAGGAATTTCAACAAGTGTGAGTGAACTTGTATGTGATAAAACAAACGGATGTGCATTGTAAAACTCCTTGAATAATTAAGAATAGAATAAAAAACAGGAAATAAAAATGGCTACCAGCATGGGGGAAATTACTTTACGATGATTTATTTACAAGTTTAGCTCATAAAATGTTGGATTTGTATATTTTTACAAAAGGAAATGTGAGTCAGAACAACTCAAATTAATTAGGATAAAAAAGCAGACTCAACCATAATAAGTAAAGTCACACCATGGACTTGCTTTCCCAGAGGCCTCAGTGTGAAAACATAATGTGTCTACTTGCCTGATTCTGTTTCCAAAGATTTCCTCCAGTCACCGGACGTCTCTCACACAACCCTGAAGTAGTTTGGTATCTCGTAGAGCTCAGACTGCTGCTTGATGTTTAGTCTATGCTCGCCGAGCATCCTCTTGTTTCCTGTTCTGTGTGAGAGTGTGTCTCTCTACTGAAGGAGGCACCCGGTGATACGTTACAGCACAAGAAATGGGAAGTCTGATTTTAACCGTACTTCCCAACACATTCTCAATATTCATGCGTTCTTTTTATGGCACCTCGCTGACAGGGAGTGGAGTGGAAAGAGCGGCAAGGCGGTGATTCATTTTGACATCACAACACAGCAACACTAAAACTGTAACAAAGTTGTGAAATATAGAAATAAAAAGACAAATAAAGGTCATGTTGACATTAAAGCAGATAAAGAAGTTATTTTGTACTTAAAGCAGATGAGAGGCACACAAGAAAACATGTCAAACTGAATAAGGCATGTTTACAACTTAGTGCCATAGTTTCCTCTCTTTACCACGACATGAAATTATCTGGCTGACTGCACACACACAAAATATATACACACTTAAACCCTATATACACACACACACACGCACGCACACGCACACACACACACACACACACACACACACACGCACACTAAAAGGAGTGATGAGGAAAGAAAACACATCATAAGCCAGAATCCTTGTGGTCACTTTTAGTCTCTTTATTGTCATTTTAGGTCTATTCGTGGTGATTTTTAGTCTCTTTGTTGTCGTTTTGGGTCTATTTGTGGTCTCATGCCACCAATGGTGCTGTGAACATCCGGTGCTCCAGTGCTCATAAATTGGGGGCGTGGCTGTACTGTCACAATGAAATAAAC